AAAATAAAAAATAAAAAATTCATCACCGACAAAATGATTCGTAAAAATCTGGGTCACACGTTTCCAGGAAATTGTAAAACCCGCGAACAACGACATACGTTTGAAAATGCGTTACCTTATATTTATAACTTCTGAGTATAAATATACAACCTGGCTGCCATCCAGATTTTTTTTCACCCGCAAACCGTCGAAATGTACGCAATCCCCCACTAGTCATCCTAGTCGCCCGTAATAGTTTTCAACCAAAAAATCTCCCGTCAGTTTAATTTCACACGAGAGTCACAATATTCCCTATTTTTTGCACCGATGTTACAATCACAAGAGCTATCAGAGATACTTCAGCTAGACCGGAGTAAAGGATTGATTTAAAATTACTTGTTGCACCAAGTGAAGTAATAAATTGGTGTCCACCCGATCCTCAGTCGAAATAATCTCTAAAAAATTAATCGATCCTCTTCCCATCCTCATTAGTCCAAGTGATCACAATTCGATTCGATGTCATCTCGTCTCCATCCACCGGAATAAATTACATAATCCAAAATGCAGATGTGTGGTAAATGAATGTGAATAATTCCTCCCACCCACCGTAAAAATCATCGTGCGAAGAAGACATTTGATAATAATCAATAGACAATGAGTAGTTGTGAGTAAAAATGTAAGCCCAGAATTACCTGTGTTGAATGATAAATCTAAAAATAGATGCTGGGTTGAGATTTCGAGTGTAGGTACTTGCACTGGGAAATAATCCATGATTGTTTAACGAAAAATGAACGACGTAAATAAACCAATAAGTTCCTAACCCTCGATGAGTGATGAATTGATTGGAAATTAGTTGGAATAATTCAAATAATGCACCACCATTCTTTTGGATCGTCAAAAGGAGATGCCCTGTGCCCTCTAGGCTTTCACCCACAAGTCAGATGGCCAACAAGATGTAAACGCTGCTTCAGGTACCCATTAATTACCCATTACTCATTTAGTTTAAGTGATCGTAATGTGATTGCTCGCGATTTCGCTCAACAGCAGCATAATCAATGATTCGACAGAGACTACAAGGATCATGCTGGTAAGCGGAATCCAGGACTCCAAGGAGCCATCACATCATCAACCCCGAGTCTGTCCAAATGGGAATCATCACCTGGACGGTAATTTATTTGATCATCCAGCAACAAAAATTTAAAACGTGAAGCTTCATTAATTCAGGGTGAAGCTCATTGTTCCCTGGTGATACATTTTACAATTTTTATATTTTGATTTATGTACAGCTCGAGTGACAGCTCGGAGAGCAAGAGGACGTGGGCGTCAACATCAAATTTGTCGAAGGATGAGTCTTCCAAGGCAAATCAACTGCCCGCAGAGGAGTGGAGCAATTCGGCTGTTGATATTTCCAGTAGAGATGTCCAAATAAGTGATAACAGACCCAGGAGTTATGTGGGATCAGCCTCTGACAGTGCGGCATCATTTCGTCGTCATTCCGTCGATGAAACTGCACTTTTTCCGAATGATCGGTCTGAGGTGAAGCACCAGACACTCCAGATAAGACAGGTCATTGATAAAAGCTCCAGTGGCTCGGAAAATGATGTTGCTTTTATCGTCCAGGTTAACTTCTATTTTCGTAGGGGAGATCTAGGCAAAATGGGGCACAGGATAAAATAGGATGAGTCGGGGAAAAAAAAATTCATTCGCGAAAAACAGTGGAACACTTTTCTGTCTCCAATATTTTATTGAAAAAAAGAAATTAATGGGAATTAATTGGAAGAGGTTTTCCAGTGTCCCATTTTCCCTTGTTCAGACGTATTTCAGGTTGATATTTTTTTGGTGTTGATATTGTTTTAGGTGAGTAAGAATAAGCAGAATGTGGAGAAGGGAGGGGAAAAGGCAGATGGAAAGAGGGAAATTGACAGGCTAAAGGATCAATTAGCTGAAATGAAGGTACGCTGTGAGAGGGTGGAGCGTGAAAAAGGTGAAATATTACTGAGAAGATTAGCCACGATGGACTCTGTATCTTCCAAGACTGCCAAGAATGCTGAAGTGTCGCGTCTACAAAAATCGGTTAAAGAATTGCAGTCGAAAAATGAAGGTACGAGTCACGAGTTTAACTGGAAATAAAATAGCGAGTGATCATTGTTGTATTTGTTTTGGTTAAGCCTTGAGCGATGAAAAAGGAACACTCTTAACGAAGATTAAGAATCTGGAGAGGGAAACGGCGACCAGGAATGGCACCACCAGGGGTGAACGGGAGAGATCCACCACCGAGGATCTCAAGTCTAAACTCAAGGCTGCTGAGACACTTTGTGAAAATCTTATGGATGAGAATGAGGATATGAAAAAGGAAATTAGAGAGTTGGAGGAGGAAATCTATGAGATGCAGGATAATTTCAGGTTCACACTTCAATTCACTCGTGTATTTCAATTCATTTGAATAATGTTAGTCATTTCTCGAAGGTACCACTTTCATAATTTCCCAACATTTTCACCAGAATAATTTATCGAATAAATTAGATTACGGTATCGTAAATGAATTTTTTTTAATTCATAGGAAAAATAATCGATTTTTTTTAAAATCGAAATTCTTTTTTAAATTTCTTTGGAACAGGGAAGAACAAGCCGATGAGTACACGAATCTGCGAAAAAAACTTGAGCAGTCGAATAAGAATTGCCGAATCCTCTCATTCAAACTCCGGAAAATAGAACGCAAAGCGGAACAACTGGAGACGGAGAAAACGGATTTTGAAACAAAATATCAAGGGGTAATAACTCGTTATCCATCACGAATTAATTACTGATTACTTTGAATGATTGTGAACCAACAGGTAAAAAGTATGGAGGAAAATTTAAAGAAATTAGCAGTGGATCTGAAAGCGAAGGGATTGGGCAAATCAACTGGCTACACCACGAATGCCCAATTGAAAAAAATGATGGAGGACATGGAGAGAGATTTGGGTAAACTAGTCTCGCCTTTTATTTAATACGCCTTTCTATTTAATACGTTGAATATATCGGGTTAATTAATTAAACTCGAGACGTGGCATTTCCAACTGGTGCATACATAAACTTCAAAGTTCAATCATAAAAACCCGTTTTTAATCGATCCATTTCAGGTAATATTTTTGGAGGTAATGCAGTACCCACGGGCAATGACATGCCAAATATGTCAGAGCAAGACGCGAGTTCTAAATACGATAAATTGTACAAGGAGCATGAAATATTGCAGGCAAAATTGGATAAGGCGTTGAAAAGTCTCGCCGGGAATAAGGACGTGGCCAAGCCATCAGAGACGAGCAAGGCTGAGATCCAAAATTGTAAGTTATTCCCAAAAACAGAAGTCAATGACTTCAATTTAAAAAATACCAACAAAAAATCTTCCATTTTGCTGATTAATTATTGTGGAACTAAATTATCTCAGTGAAAAAGAAATTGAACGAGGCAACGGCCGGTCGTGAGAACGATCGTAAAACCTGGGAATCGGAAAAAATAAAACTCGACGAGGAAAAGGAAAATTTGAAATCAAAATTGCTGTCGCTGTCCGCTGAAAAATTGAAGGTTTACAATGAAGTGCTGGAGTTGAAGAAGGACTTGCAGACAGCAAAATCTACCGAGAAAAATAATGTTAAAACTGAAATAGCTCTGACTGAATTGAAAAAGGAACTGAATGCCGAACACGATAGGTGTAAAAAGCTGCAGGAGGAATTGTCAGTATCAAGTGAGAGAGAGAGTAAAATGTCAAAGGATTTAGCATCAGTGAGTTGGAATTTTTTTCCTCGATAAAACAAGTATCTCGGATTAAATAATAATTTTTAAAATAACGTAGGTAGAGCAAGCGAAAGGATTAACCGAGAGTGAATTGAAACGCATTAAATCTGAATTTGATAATTCAAAGTCGTCGATGGCAATGAAGATAGCGAAATTGACAGGAGAGCTCATGGAAGTTATAAGAGATCGGGATAAATGGAAGGTTCAGATGGAGGAGGATAAAGCTGCTAAAGACACTGAGGTGGGAAGTCTCAAAAAAAAAATGGCAGCCCTTGAGAAAGCGGAGAGCAATGTGAAAAAAATGAATGAGATGAAGCAAAACTACAACGAAAAAATAACAAGTTAGTTATTCACTGAGTTATTACCAAAAATATTTTACGGCAAACGGGAGAAATATTTTATATAAAATAAAATAAAATATTTCTCCTAAATAAACAAATGAAAAAATTGTTTGATTTTTTTCTGTGTAAACAAATGGATTTGGTTTATTGGCTTGCAGTTCTCGAGGAGGAATTGCAAAAAGGTCAGAAGTTGTATGATGAATTGCAGCTGAAGCACGCGAATCTGCAGGACGATAAAAAAAATATAGAGAGCGAGAAAGAAGCCTTCCACAAGTACACACAATATTGAGAAACCTCAATGAATACAGAACATAGTACCATGTAGTGAAACATCTTCTAATTACAGAAAACTAGCGGAGTATCAGGTTAAACTGGAAATGACGAAAGAGCGGCTGGAAAGCTCGGAGAAACTTCAAAAATCCAGAGAGGATAATTGGAGCGATGAGAGACGTCGACTCCAGGTAATTAAATAAATATAAAAAT